GAACTAATATCCAACTCCCAAAAATCTATTTCAGAATAGTTTAAAATACAATGTTCACTCTTTAGCTTACTCTTTGAAATGCTCATGAAGTATTCTTATATGTAATTTATAGTGCCATCTATTATTGTTTTAATTGTTCATATTGCTGCTGCTGTTGCTTAGAGACACAGTTTGAATTTATCTTTGAAAGGAAGATAAGAATTACCTTGTGAAAAGTCTTAAAACCTGTCTTTCAAAGAACTAATATCCAACTCCCAAAAATCTATTTCAGAATAGTTTAAAATACAATGTTCACTCTTTAGCTTACTCTTTGAAATGCTCATGAAGTATTCGTTTCCTCTTCAAGGTTGTCACTAACTCTTATTACTTAATTTCCTTAGTTATGTAGTATAAAGAGTTCTCTTCCAGATTATTTTCTTAGACGCTCTGTAGCTATGGCAAGCGAAGATCATAATTTTAATACTTATTAGAGAACAATGCATCTGCATTTGAGGAGACTGAATTGCACCCCCCAAATTCATATATTGAAGCCTTAACCCCCAGTGTGAGCCCCCTTGTAAGATGGGACCCCAGAGAGATGCATACTTTCTCTCAAACTCTTAGATCACAAAGAAGAGGTCATGAGTCATGTGAGCACACAGCAAGGTGGTGGCTGCCTACAAGCTGGGAACAGAGCCCTAACTAGGAGTTGCATCAGACAGAACCTTGATCTTGGACTTCTGGCCCCCAGAACTGTCAGAAAATAAATTTCTGGCAGTCATTTAAGCCACTGAGTCTATGATATTTTGTAATGGCAGCATGAGCTGAATAAGAACATCTTTGAGGAAGCAAAAGCCTTTTTTGGGGGAGGAATGTGGTTGGGGAGAAGGAAAGCAATTATGGAATTCTTTTTTTTATCCCCCAGATTAGTGTGTTTTTGCTGTCTGAGGATGAAGATAAACCAGATAACCCAAATATGTCTTCTATAGGTTTTAAGTAGACAGAAGGTAAAAATCACAACTGGATTTACACAAAACTGAATTTTAAAAACATAAGTGAGATGGCCAGTAAGGTATTTGGTACAAACTCTTGGATCAAAAGTGAGGAGAATCTCTCCAGAGACTCTAGATTTGATGATGGATAACTTATTGTATATGTGAATATGAAGGGATATACTTGTTTGTTTCATATACTGGTCTTGAATATTAATTTGTCACATAGTTTTCTATGAAATAACTATGTTTTAGATATTAAATAATTCATTTGTGAATATATAGTATCTAATTTTGTTTTAAACTTGTAGTCATACCTCATACAGATGGTAAAATGCCCTATTATTGGTTATGTCTTAATATAAAATGCCATGACTTGGTGTCTGATAGTAGGACAGTGCAATGATAATTAGAAAGAAATTTTCTATGTAAATTCATGCATTTAAATAAATTAGATTGAATTCAAGTGGCAATGAAGAGAAGTTGTTAATCACAATTTGTTAAGATTTTTGGTTTTTTTTACAATATTCTTTCAATGTCAGTTTTATATGGGTTACCAAAGACTCTTTCCAGAGAATGCTTTATCTTCTAATATCTTAGTTTTCAGGGAAAAGTGTTCATCACAATTGATAAAAGTTCAGGGGAAGGGAGAGTCTTCAACCAGGTAATGCGTAGGGAAACTGTTAGGGTGCAAAAATTATACTGCATGTTACCGGGGTAGTGGTTGCTTGACTCTACGCATTTGTCAAAAATCTATAGAACTTTGCATAAAGGTTGAACTAGTTTGCAGTCCTACCAACAGTATGTTTTAGTGTTCCTTTCTTTCTGCATCCATGCCAGCACATGTTGTTTTGGGACTTTTTGATAAAAGCCATTCTCACTGGGGTTAGGTGATATCTCTTTGTGGTTTTGATTTGCATTTCACTGATGATTAGAGACTTTGAGCATTTTTTTTTTTTGATATGCTTATTGGCCATTAGTCTTTATTCTTCTGAAAAGCTTCTGTGCTTCTGTGCGTATTTTTCGCCACTTTTTAATGGGGTCATTAAATTTTTTCTTGCTGTTTTGCTTGAGTTCTTTATATATTCTGCTTGTTAGTCCATTTTTTTTTTTTGAGACAGAGTCTTACTCCATTGTCCGGGATAGAGTGCCATGGCCCCAGCCTAGCTCACAGCAACCTGGGCTCAAGCAATCCTTCTGCCTCAGCCTCCCAAGTTAGCTGGGACTATAGGCATGCACCACCATGCC